ATGCTCCAAAACCATTCTTTTTTATAATGGCACTTCTGGTTAAACAGGAATCCCCTTTAAACAATCTTTATCGTCTGTGTTGAACTTATTTGTTGTCAAGATCGGCAGCCACAAACAAATAATACAATCCGAAAGATGATGGCGGTGCCCAGGGCAACTTTCGGAATAAGGTGGATACTTGAGCCACACATAAAAGTAATCTTTTAATTTGAATTACATTATGAAAAACATTTGTTTCTGGAAAAAAAAAAAAAAAATTGGTAAATGGTTTAATGGCACTTCAAAGGCTTTTAGGGCTGTAAAGTGCTTTCAGAGCACTCTACAGCAAGCAGCCATCAGACACACATTCACACACCATGTATGCAGACACTGGGGGCAAGGTAGATCGAGTGTATTCATCTGTAGGAGCTGTAATCACACCGCCAACTGTGGGTCAGCGGATCTGACCACTCAACCACTGACGTTTATGTCAAGAGCGGGATTCGAACCACCATCCTTCAGATCATTTTTTTTTTTGTGAGAGATGGAGTCATAAATAATAGTAATCACAAATAAAATGTATCTTTAGTATTGAATGTGAACATAAGTGAAAACACTGACCCCTCACCAGCACAGAGCCCTGCTGTATCACCTGTCCATAATGATGACAAGAAGCCCCCAGTGCTATCAGCGACTTCCCGTAATGTCATTAAAGCAGCAGAGACCTGCTGGTCCTGGGCTGGTCCCTGGCTGATCCTGGGCTGGTGGAGTGGTTTGTCGTGGGTGTCAGTTTTCTATTGATTTATGGAGATGTCAAAGAGGCCCGTCCCTTCAGCTGACTACATATAATCTAATCACAGAGCACTCCAACTGCAGCCGCACCATGAGCTCATGCTTCAAAACAGCTTACAGCGGCTAAAATCTGCTAGCACAACACAAGCTACAAAAGTTATGTGGATATTGTACAAGAGTATGTAAGCATATACTTTAACTAAAACTTTAACTTATCACTGCTCTGATCCCTGTTTTGTGAAATATCAGCAGCAACAATTGCATAGCAAGTTCAGTATCACTCACCCTCACATTAATAATAAAATTAAGTTACAAACAGGGCCGAATCAAAACTCAGGACAGTAATAAATGTTTGCAATTTACAAACTGAAATAAAATTCTTGTTAAACCTTAATTCTTTAAGCGTTACATGCATTAAAACACTGATCGTATAGGCTTCCATGTACAAGTTCAGTAATGACATTAGCAGTGAGTGCTTGAGTGTGTCTCTAAATCTTAATTTGATCTAGCACTGGAGGAGGCACTAATAGCTTTAATGCAGCTAATTAGTAATTAGGAGGATGGCCGGGGGACGGAGCACCCCCACACATCACAAAACTGTGTTAGGAGACATCACCCATCCCACGCAGACTCCTATCAGTCAGGAATCTGACCAAGAAAGGCCTTTTCCATGGCTGGCTCTTTGAAATAAAATGTGTCTTGCTTTGTAGGCAGTGCAATTACGTTATGTGAATTATACACACATGTATTCTATGATGTGCTGCTGTAGCTCTGAACTCAGGAAGTGTCCCGGTATGAAAGAATATACTGTCATAATCAATCATATTGCAGAAGAACTGGTATAACCCATTCTTAAGCCAAAGCCCAATGCAGTATAAAATGAAAAGAAGACTCTTTCTTAAGCACTAATGCTGCCTTTTTTAAATTATTATTATGAGACATCAACCTTGGACTTGCACAGCTGGCCATAACCCTATAGTATAATGTATATAGACTCAAAGTGTTGAATCTCACAAATACCTTGATAAACCTAAATCATGACGACCAGCTCCTTCAGAGTCTCCAAAGTCATTACTGTGGACGTGCACTTGCCAGCTGCCAGCCCATTAAACCTGTGTAACACTAACATCATATTACACCTCAATATACATCTTATCTGCATCTCCCTTCTCAGATCAGTGACTGCATATGGAGCTTACAGTAATTAAAGCTAGAATCTAAATGAGCCTTGTAAACTGTGGACTGAGTCAGTTTACACAAGCCTGCATACTTTATTATGGAGTAAAACACAATTGTAAGTAACTACAGATTATATACGGTACGCCGGATATGACAACAATAATTCTTTATGTAGAGCTGTGGGCATCTTTCTAAAGCACCCAAACAAATGATTATTAGTTTTCATTGCAACATTTGCATTATATTTCATTATATGCAGGGTGGGACATAAATTGTTTATTGTGTATTTTCTGTTGCAATATATCACTCTTGAAAATGTGTACTTGTGACGGGCCTAGCAGTATTAAATTCAGAGGAGAAAACTCAAATGAAGCACACCATATATATATTACTGCAATACATAGCAATTATGTGAATATCATCCCACCAGTTTTTAGGGTTTTTTTTCTGTGTGGAAATTAGTGCAATTAAAATGGATTTGCATACAGTATTACAATGTTGTTTCCTCATCACAAAGAGACCTGGAGTTGTGTTTCGTTTCATTCACACATGTTTAACACACACCTGCATATTTAGGTTGACACTGGGTTCCACCTTGGGATGTCATGTGGTAAAACAGGAGGTGCTTCACTGTTTTTAAACTTCATACACTTTCACTAGAATTATTTGAATGATTTCAGCCAAGTACTTGTCAGTCAGTACAGAACAAAAGGTAAAAGGAGCTGTTAACTGATTTATGTTCCATTAGATGTCATGGCAAGGTGGAACAGAGTTTTCTGAGCTTCAAAGATGTAAACAGGCCAGTAATAAAGGGTTACTCAAACATGTATGAATGAAACAAAACACAACTCTGGATATGTTTTTGATGAAATAACAACATCATAACATGGTTTAAAGTTCGCGAGAGTCTAAATATAACACCTTTAAGAAGATTGTGCTATCTAGTTTTGTTTAAAGAAATAAAAATGAGAACATTTCACACTATAAATGAAATCCTTCTCATACTATTGAAAAGATGGTTACCTAGTTAATCTTAGTGTAGCTGCACAGACTCTCCAGTCCCAGCGCCTTAGCTCGAGGGCACAAAGTCAGCGGGATTTGTGCAACACCTCGCACAACAAACCCAACATTAATCCCAAATTATTCATACCAGGCTCAGAGTTGCAGGAAAGATGTGTAACTTATGTAAATCACAGCGAAAAGGTACCAGGATGTTACATAAGAGATACATCTTGAGCTGTTGCCTCTGCTATCGGCGCAATGTCCGCCCCCTCTCAGACCCCCCCATCATCGGCTTTGTGGCCTCATTCACTCCATCACCGCTACCTGCTCACTACTCAAGGCTCTGTACCACAAACAAGATGCAAACACAGGGAACTGTGCATTAAACGCAGATAGTTGTGTTAGCTATGGTTGGATAAATGCAATTGAATGAGAAAATGCAATCTTTAGAATATTTTCTATTGCAATCCAACGTAACATAGACCTGTCACTATAATTACTATATCAACTTATCAATGTTCAATATATGAAAGATGGAACAGTAATTTTTAGGGGCCATTGTTAATTGTGAATACTTATACATTGCACAAGTGGGAAAATATTGGTTGTTTTTCTGTACTTTGATAACATTTGAGCAATAGATGGTCGATTAATAATTTCTATGACTCATTATAGACACAAACTGACTACTTAAAGGTGCACTATGTAACTTTTTGGTTGGGTGCTATTTGAAATGTTCCACAATATGACATTAAACAGCTCTGCCTTTCATTTATTCAATTACAGGTGGTTTTATCGCTCGAAAATACCTAAAAACAACGGCATTCTGACTGTGAGCGGGTTTGCCTCTCCACAGATCTGACCAGTAATTTGGCCTGATTTTGTCTCCCAGATGATAGAAAGCTTTAGTGCCATACTGTGCAATATTCCAGACAAAGCAATACCATGTCCAGGAAGAAAAGCATTTGAAGATCCCTCCCCCAGAAAAGTTACGCAATGCACCTTTAAGTGTTGCATTCTGTTATGTATTTATTGCCGCTCATATGGTTTAACAATATTGTACATTTAGAATACTTTTTTTAGCATAATTCTTCACAATTTGTAACCGTTACAGGCATAGTGTAACGTCAGATTTTCTTATTATAATGCACTAGGGTGGGATATCTGACAGAAAATCCAAGAAAAAACTTAATTGCTATTTATATTTATGTATTCAAGTCAAATCTCATAAAATAATTCCCTCAAACCAAACTAGCTTCATAAATTGCTCTCATGCATAGTAATGTCCTATTTACATATTTACAAACATTAGTGCACTTGAGATGGATTAAAATCTATATGAGGTTTGGGTAAGAAGTCTATAAAGCTATGTCACACAAGCTAAGGAAGGGTGTAGTTTTGGTAAATGGATAGAAATGTGTTAGTTCAGTGATTCTCAATATCCAACAGGTACACAAAATATTTCATTCATTCACACTTGGTCTGGTTTTGTCTTGTTTAGGTCAAGTTGGGTTTTTTGTGTGGTTCTGTTCTTGTTCTGTTTTAATCTTGGTCTAGTCCAGGTTTAGGTCCAGATTTATTTCCAGTTTAGTCCCAGTACTGACGACTGTGCAGATGTGAACACACCCGAAGTCTTCATGCAACTTATGTTATGTTAAATGAATGTGCATATTTCAAATAAATAATAGATACTCTAAAAATCTAAATTATTTGCTTTGGACCAACATAAAATACTTAAATGGAAAAAGGTGGCATAATAATTCAAATGGGCCAACATCTCAGTTACAAATACAAACAATTCCTTTGCAGAAACAGATAATAAAAAAATAAAAAAAAATCAGCCTGTAGTTTATTCTTTGTATCAAATCAATCAATTCAGGTAAAGTAAAAAAATATTCCACTTCTTTTTGATGAAATCCTTGATACTTTTTCATAATTTTTCAAAATGGAGAATTCTATTTGTGCAAATTAACACTTAAAAGGACATGAGTAAAGGTGAGTTTGAAGGCACCCAAACACTAAACCAGAGCGTGCTGTAGAGTTCTTACCTTGACATTGTCCGGGTGCAGACCTCCAGGGTGCTTATCCATGTACTGACACAGATCTGTGTGCTGTAAGAAACACAAATTCAACCTTATTTATACAGTAGTAACAAAATGTAGTGTTATATTTAGATGATAAAGTCTATATAACTAACAAAAATCCAGAAACGTTTGCTTGACAAATAAACGTATGTAGTTGGTGAGATGAATGTGTTTGTATATGTAAATAAATACAACATTTTCTTCAAGTTCTTAGATATATGGAGTCTGTGCCAAATTGAAATGGAAATCAATGCACAGTAAAGGCAGATGAAAGAAAAAAAAAATACTACAACGAATGATGGAGAGCATATTTAAATAAATCAAAACCCCAGTTCTAAGACAATTCCAGGATTTGTGGAGGTTTAGAGAAAGTGAAGACAAATGTTTGATGTCTGTCTGTTTGAGCTGTGCGTTAACAGAGCGTGTCTTTGCTCAGTGTGGGGGCATTAAGCTCTATTACAGAGGCTTTGGGCGATCGCGGACCAGATTTGACAAGAGTTTGGGGCTGTCCTGGACTGACTGTCGGTAAAAAAGATTGAATGATAATGAGCACAGCAACTTCTTTTGCGGTGTCAGTGTAATACATACTTTATAATGTAATGATGTCATCTTTTAGCAATTCAAGCTTCTCTGGATTGCTCAAAATGAAAAATGATAATAATAAAAACACATTTTCACCTGGAGTTATGTTACCATGAAGAGATTACATCATTCTTTTGCTTATTTGTTAAGGTCCTGTTTTGTTTTCTATCATAGCATATGTGTTGATTCACACCTGAGTTCACACCTAAGTTGGGCTGTGATTCTCTTTAAATTGTTAAATTGTGATTGGACAAAACAGCCTTTCCATGTTGCTGTATTGTTAAAAATATTTCACAGGGAACATGAAAATATTTGCCTCTTTTAGTTATTTATGACTCAGTACTCAGATCCACTAACTTTTTTGGTCCTTGGGCAAGATGCTTAACCTGTCTCTACAGTGTCTGTTTATGAATGTGTAAATGAGTGGTTCTCTGTGTTTTGATTGCAGATTAGAGGTATAAAAAGCCAACATTATGATATCAAAGGCATCATTATTAGATGTAATAACAAAATCATATCAAAGATTCCCAGACATCTCCATAACCCCTCTCCAGCACCTCCAGGACAACAGTGTGCACCCCTGTTTCCAAAAACATCCTGTTACATTACTATTCATAGACTATCTGCTCTGAAGTCTTCGGGGGTATTCTGGTAAATGTTGCGAGTTGTGAGTTGACTTATTTCTGTCCGTATTTGTATGAAATTGGAGCCTGTCTTGGCCTGGAGCTCCGTGTCTGGACTAATCTCACGAGTTTAGTCCTTCCTCCACTGCCCTTCACCTTCGCTTGTGAGCAGACTGAAGATGGAGGCGATTCTGAAAATACAATGATATTTACAATGTCCCTCAGCCGGATCCTATCTGCTGAATAATTCAAAGTCATGAAGCAGCATAGATGTGTCTGTCCATCCTAATCTAAACCCTGTGCCCTTGGTTTTACTGCCTCTGTTGTCACCATAGTGATACATTTTAGTGTGTCTCCCCATAGACCCACTGACTGTCACTCATGATTAGGGGAACAGGCAAACAATAGGCTGATTGTTCCAGTTGACAAGCGTTTTGAATGAGATCCACACAAGATGATGGCTCCACGCACTGACAAATTCAAAACTCATTTACATATCGGGAAATCTAATAAGGAAAAACAACCAGCAGAGGGTGGTCAATGTCTATGTGAAGTAGTTTTTTTATAGAAGAAGAAGAAGAACAACAACAACAACAACAAAAAAGGAAAAGAAGAAGAAAAAATAGGAAAAATAAAAAAGGAAAGAAGAAAAAGAAGAAGAAGGTTTATTGTCCCCATAGAGGTCATTGTTAGATTTATTAAACTCAGGGGATTTCTAGGTTGACATTAAGACCACCACAAATAAGACCGTCAGGGAAAAGGCCGTTATGTTCTGTGGTAATTGGCAACATCCTGTATCTGACCTGACCCATGAAACATGTCCTTTAGTGAACTTGATGTTGTGTTATGGACATTTTACAATGCAAGCGCTTCATGAATAAATTGGAAATTATTGTAATTGTATCAAATTGTAACAAATCTGTGCTGTTTTTCAGACCTTTATGCTGTTTTTTCTCCTTTTTTACATTTTTCTAAGCAGCCATGTTTGTTTTTATGCAAAGGGACCTGTCTTCTCTGATTGGTTCATTTGCCTGTCAATCATGCCCTCTGAAATTAGAGAAACAGGATAAAGCTCCAGATCCAATCGTCTTTGTTAAGAAAAATGAAACAGAATTGTAATGACAATAGATTACATTTATGTTTTCTTGTTTACTGAAAAAAAGGACATTTGAGTAATATTGCTCTACTATTTGCAAAAGGGAGCATAAAAGGGCTCACCAATCCTAGTGTAAGAAAACTGGATGGACGATTAGCCTGTTTTGAGTGCTAGTAAATGTAGAACACCCCCAGCGTGACTGAAAGTATCAGTAGAACATACCTGATCACACTGTGGAGAGTAAGTAATGAATAAATGAAAACGCATTAATTGTTACAAGACATCTTTCAAGTACCAACCCATTTAACCCAACCTGCGCATGTCTGATCTCCTCATGTTTGAACACAACGTCCCAGTCCTTCCTCCTCCTCCTCACATATGAAGACTACATGTACCAGACTGAGAGCCGCTTCATTACTGATGCAGAGCTGAGTCAGACATCTCAGATCAGGATTTGGCCTCGATCAGCGTTTTGAGATCCACACTTGACCTGAATATAAAGTGACCATCAAAGAGAGCTCACATGAAGCTTGAGATGAGAAGGTGCATTGCTCACAGCAGGAGGGGAGACATGGGTTTATGGGTTTAGATATGTTTACACAAAGTTTGAAGGTACACTGGCGAGGAGAAACTTGAAGTACTGTGGATTGGTGGTTTTCATAAGTGTCATGGTGTAGTCTTTTTTTAATTTTAAATGAGAATTTGTTCTTTTTTGTTAAGATTGTTGGACATGGCAATATATAGTATGTTCGTATTTGGCTTTACACACAGTACAACGTGTAACTGAACATATCTTTCTTGCATTTATTCTAATAAGAACAGACCTTGAAAATGTTTGAGCAAGGTTACCTCTCCACAGATCTGACTAGTAACTTTGTCTGGTGGTGTTATCTGCCTGTCACTTGCCTAGAACAGAACCTCACTGCTATAGTAACATCCGTTTCCCCAATACCAAGATTTCAAAGTGTGAAGTGTAACACAAAAGATAAAATTACTTTTTAAATAAACTAGACATTACCTGGATGATAAGGGCTGTTATATAACATAAGACAGTGAGATCAACAAAACATGAGTTTTAATCTTTTATATAATTTTAATTGTTTGAGTTTGCCCTTGAGAAGGTGACCCCTACTACAATAAAATATGTCATTTCCTGTCAGCTGCATTGCCATGGTGACATTTATGGAAACAAACTAAAAGTGTGTCCTTCCAATAAAGTGTCCCGTCTGCCTCCAGCTCTGTCCCCTCCAGCGCTGGCACTGACTGTTCTTCAATGGAAAGAAACTTATTCCACTTTACAGCAGGTTGAGAGCCTAAAATGCCCAGTAAACAGAAGAATGCCAGTGAAAATATTTTCAGCTCAGGTGTAGCTATGGACTTCCAAACTCTAACACCAAACCAAATGAGGTCAACTATATACAGTGAAATTACACCTTCTTATAGCCAGTTTTATCCCTCTAACTAAAATATTCACAATAAGATAGTTCTTCTGCTAAGATAGCCTAAGCCTGGGTCAAGATCCAGAGAAGAGTCAAAGATGGGTTAAATGCAGATGGCAAAATTTCCCAAATTTAGGGTCAGTATGGTATTCCTTAAACATTTATCACTGCTGTGCCAAATAATGATATTTTTAAAGATTCTCCATAGATTCACCATTATTTATGTATTTGTTGAACCAGTTATTATCTTACCTGGCTAGCCAGAAGCACATGCTTTGAAAAAAACTTTACAGAAATGAGTGAATCTGGAGCTGTATGCTGTCTCCCTGATTTCATAGGGGTTGATTGACAGGAATGGCTGCTTATGAAAAGAGAAAACAACAACAACAGGTAACATAAAGGACTAAGAAACTGCAAGGATTTTCTCAGAATCAATCGAAGCACCAAACTATTACGTATATAACTTAGGGGTGTCAAATTATCGCGTTAATTGCGATTAATTAATTACAGTCATATTTAGCGCGTTATGTTTTTTAATCGCGTTAATCTCATTTTTAATCTCTAACTTTACTGTTTCTGTATGCGAGTTGCTTTATTATAAAACCTGTTTTTATGTGTTGTTGGGACAACAACACACACACACACAAAAAAAAAACACATTTATAAATTTTTTTATTTCGGTAATTCCACTCATTGCCGGAAACCCACATAAAACGCACGCAGTAAGAGCGATGTAAACGTCATGTTAACGCTGGCGGCGTCAGTCGCACAATTGAAGAGGTCGAAGAGCCAGTAGAACAGAGTCAGCAGTGCACAGGTAAAAACGCATTCGTGTCTTGGAAATTATTCTCCCGACGTGAAATATAAAAGAAAATAACTAATATAATATCGCCTACAACTTAAATGTCAATGGTGAAAACAACCTGCATAGGCTCATGATGTCTGCACTACTGTCCTATACACAAACACACACAAACACAAACACACACCTTCATCATCGTCATTAACCTGAGAACGCGCGGACCACGTTTCCTTCCGTAGTTACTGCGCGGACACCGACGTGCTCCCGTGAGCCGCGTGTGGATCGTGTTTTCTCACGTACGCGGCGTAAACCGCGCTTCCTCCTGTGCGCCTCTAAACCAGAACTAACACCAAGACTAAAACCAGGACTAATCCAGTCCAGGACTAAACTAGGACTAAACCAGAACTAAAACCAGAAATAAAACCAGGTCTAAACCAGGACTAAACCAGAACTAAACCAGAACTAAAACCAGGTCTAAACCAGGACTAAACCAGAACTAAAACCAGAACTAAAACCAGAACTAAAACCAAGACTAAACCAGGACTAAACCAGGACTAAACCAGAACTAAAACCAGAACTAAAACCAGGTCTAAACCAGGTCTAAACCAGGACTAAACCAGGACCAAACCAGAACTAACACCAGGACTAAAACCAGGATTAATCCATTCCAGGACTAAACTAGGACTAAAGTAGGACTAAAGCAGGTCTAAACCAGGACTAAAACAAGGACTAAAACCAGTGATCTCATATATAAAGCATTTCTCTATCAATAATATTTTTAATATGGTTAAGGAAAGACTGGACTTTTTATTGTCTTTAAGTAGACAAAAGTTATTATGTTCAGATTTCCTCATCTTTGCTACTTTACAGCAAACAGTTTCTTATTCATGGAGACTTGGGCTCAACAGCCAATTTGGAAGAGATTTCTTAAACAATAAATGACTTTATAAAGTCACTTTTTTTAATCTATATCAGTCTTTTGATCTGCCACAATAATGTAATAATGAATTTAAATGAAAATACCTCAAATTGAAGGCTTTTCTCAGCAATTTTTAGGTGAGATTAAAATGAGATTAATTAGATTAATTAATTACAGATCATAATTAATTAATCTCTCAATTTTTTTAATCGCATGACAGCACTAATATAACTATTACTTCTTTTGTTCTGAATGTTTGTGGAATTTTAGAGAGGAGATGCCTTCTGCATTTGAGAGACACATGCTATAAATTAAAGGCTGTGGTTGGATCTTCTCAAGGACAGAGGTTTTTCATGTTCTTGTCTGATTCCAGTGCCTTCTGGATTTGAAAAGAATGTAGAAGAGACGTCAGGCAACATTTTATCTATACACAGTATCGACTTATTAGGAAAACTGACTGTTTTCATATCTGGCAAACATTTCATACATTTTTGTTTAGTTTTTAAAGGGTTGTAGAGAAGTGCATGTACTCACCACATACTCAAAGACCAGAGTGAGGGTCTCCTTGGTGTGGATGATGTCATGGAGCAGCACGATGTTGGCGTGCTTCAGGCCTTTGAGCAGAGAGGCTGCACACACACACACACACACACACACACACATATATAAGATTACATAGAACTACACAGAGTTACAGTCAGGGCTTACAGATAGCACCAAAAGGCTGAGATCTCTGGCCTCATTAGCGGCATCATTATAATGCGCTAAAGACTCTCCTCTAGCTACTCTTCATACTGAGGATTTAGACCAGATTAAAACCAAAAACCCAAACACAGGCTGGATTTTCTGAGGCAAGTTCCCACGCTAATTTGTCAACACAACAACGAAGAAGAAGTCCACATTAGGGTATTTTCTGATCTATGTTATAAAGTTGTTTCCTCATCAAAAGCATACATGGAGTTCTGTTGTGATTCATTCACACATATTTAACACATAAATCCTACATATTTAGGCTGAGCTCTTCTTTCAAACCAAATGCACTCTGTTCCACCAGGAAGTGCTTCACTGTGTTTTTAAACTCCATACGCCTTCACTAAAATCCTTTGGATGTTTCAGGCCTGGAACTGCCCATCACAACTAGGTATAAGTAGCTGTTAATCACTGCATGAGACAAGCTGAAACAGAGCATTTTAAGATCTGGGGATGAAGATAAACTAATAAACCAAAATTACTCAAACATGTGTGAATGAAACAAAACACAACTCCATATAGTATGTTTTTGGGGAGATGGCAGCATTATAACATGGTTTAAAGCTCACCAGAATCCATTTTGTGTAATAACAGACTTTTAATGGTTGAGACGAGACTGAGCGAACCTTCTATCAAATTACTTATTTTAGAGTTCAGAGTGGTGAAGAGGATTTTCAAATGACAACAGCTATAAAGGGAAAATAGCTTCCAGTCTGATGAAAGAGAAATAGTGGAGTTTGATTGGCTATCGACAAAACTGACCTTTAGGAGTAACAATATGAGCTTGAAAGGATAACTACCTGCCAGCAAAGAATATGTCAGGTGAAGTTCTCCACATAATAGTTTGGGGATTTTTTTTTCATATTTGATTGATGGGAAAAAATTACCTTTTCAAAATAAACCTTAAGATACATTTTTGCTTGTGTCCAAATGTTGTTTTCAAAAATGCACCTCATATTTGTGACGGTGGTTTCAAATCTGTTCTTCAGTCAGTGTTCACACCCAATATGTTGTTCACTTCTCTATAGCTACACTGGTTTTCTCACCAAGGCTACGTTTATATGATGACGGTCTGAACAGAAGACGCAAAAGTAGCGTCTCGTCCTCACTTTTTATTTTGCGTTTTGAGAAGCAAGTTCAGAAGGAAATCTGCGTGCATACAGTGAGGCAAAAGTGTATGGAATTCAACTGGGTAAGCATACCAGGCGGCGAGGTGGTGACGCTAGATGGTGATGTATGTGATGTAAACGTGTACACGACGTGAGCAGCTCTGACCAGAGTTTTGCGTCTTGGGCAGTGTAGACGGAGCGTATTCAACTTTACCACGCTGGAGGGTGGTTTCAGATTTTTGCACATTTAACCCCCAAAAACGCAGTCACCGTCTAAATGAAAGGCACTTCCGATAAAATATTTTGTCATTTTTATCTGCAAGCGTTCTTGTGTAAACAGACCCTAAGACCTTACCCCAGTTTGTTCCTGGTTTGAATTCAGTTAAATCCTGATGTAGACTTGGTTTGGTCCTGGTCTAGTCCTGGTCTACTCCTGGTCTAGTCCTGGTCTAGTCCTGGTCTAGTCCTGGTCTAGTCCTGGTCTGGTCCTGGTCTAGTCCTGTTCTAGTCCTGGTCTAGTCCTGGTCTAGTCCTGGTCTAGTCCTGGTCTAGTTCAGGTTTAGTTTGTAATTTTGCTGCGGTGAGCAAGTGTAAAAGCAGCCTATGTGTACAATAAACTGGCTAATTATGTAGAACAAATTAAGATAATCTAACAGATCTAACTCAAATAGTTTAAGAAATGAGCTCCATGAATATTTGCTACTCTTATGTTGTGAAAAATTTGACTGACCAAAGTACAAAATGATTACACTTCATATACACTACCAGTCTTTGGTAGTTTGGACTCACTTTCTCATTCAGTGTTATTAACTTTTTTTTCTTTGCTACATAATTCAACACATCTTACTTCACATATTTGATGTCGTCTGTGTGTATATCAAATTAACATACAAAAAACACTGAATGAGACGGTGAGTCTAAACATTTGACTAGCAGTGTAGATTAGAAGTTAAAATAAAGGCCTGCTTGTGAGGTGACTTTCAAATTTAGTCTATTCTTTCGGGGTTCTGACTTTGTAAATGTCAGTTATTAAAGCTAAGGAAGACGTATGAGCTTGTTAAGTGTTGAGGACATGTTGGCGGAGAGGCACACTTCCTGTTTAGCGCTTTCATTTTGGTTTTAAAACTTCAGGGAAACAGCTAATCACTTCCAGATGTGCCAATCGCTCCAACTGTCGCCCTCGCACCCGCTTTTCCATAAACCAAACTATCATCCTCTCACCCGCTTTTCCCGCAAACCCAACCTCTGCTGCAGTGGTGAGATGGGACAAAGTAAAAGTAGTCAAGTGCTGTACTTAAAAGGTGCATTGTCTAACTTTTCTGGTTGAGGGTCTGTCAAATGCTGTTCTCCATGATGTTTTTGCTTTGTCTGGAATGTTTCATAGTATGGTGTTAAGGCTTTCGATCACTATGGAGACCAAACCAGGCCAAGCTGCAGCTCAGATCTACGAAGAGGCAACCCTGCACACAGTCAGAATGCCTGTATCTTCTAGGTATTTTTGAGTCATAAAACCAATTTTAATTTAATAAATATAAAGTAGAGCAATGACATATCAATAGAAACAAGCAGGTGACAGACCCCTGTACTTGAACAGGACTGAGAAGTATTTTTTAATGATTTTTTTAAGACCTGCTGACCTGCTGGTTTAGTTTTATGAGTTCATAATTTGAGCAAATTAACATATACAAATAAACACAGCTAACCTACAAAAAAGTTATTGATTCAGCCATTTCTGTTGAACAAAACAGAACACAAATCTTGATCAAAAGCACATTTGAACATTTGAAGCTTTATTAGATCTGTAAATCTGTGCGAAATATGTTTACTTTTTACTCTTTAAGTACATTTTTAAACAGGTACGTTTCCTGTGATACTTTTATTGTACTTTTACTTGAATATTTTTTGCTCCAAGATCTGTACTTTTACTTAAGTAACAAAATGGAGTACTTCTTCCTCCACTGCTCCAATGGTAAGAATCAAACTCCACTTTGGGGGTTACAGTTGGGCAGAAGCATGCATGTGGTCACACTCTGAGCTGCTGAGTCAATATTGGGCAGTAATCAAAGTATTTCTTAATGACGCACCCAGTAAAAGTACCCCAAAAACCAAATATGAGCAAATATGTGGTAGTTTATTGGCTGCTGGAAACACAAGTAAATGAGAGTGGTTTTCATTTACTAAAGGGTGTGATGACTTAAACTGTGAGCTATGTAATATGAAAGAGCATAAGCAGTTCTCAATCTGTCTTCTGTTATAACGTTTTGAAATTAGATGCAGAAATAATGTACAGTTTAAGATCCAAGTTGACTTCACCAGCAGTGCCTGTGATAATGTGTGTAAAGTAGTTGTTAGAGAGGCTGTGGGTGCAGAAAAAAAATATGTGGAAAAACTGCTGCCTGAATTATAATAAATTTATACTAAACAAGTAACTAGACAAGTAAGTTAATTGCACTGGGATTAATACTGTATAAGATCTTGTTTTATGAGGTGAAATTCAAGAAGCTATAATTATTCTGTGTTGAAATTGGAGCTGAGTAAAATGACAAAAAAGTAGACATGTTTTTTGTCCTTATTAAAAGAAATTAAAATAGTTTTCAATATTAATTTGCTGAACATATAGATGTGACACATTTCAAAACAAAAACAAAAAATCTCCCTCAGTTTGAACTCCCAATCACATGCTTTGGTTGTGGACAATTGAGGCAAAAAAAGCAAATGTAACTGTTATTGTTCTTGTTGAAACTGGCATTATATTTGATAGCATTATGATTATAATGTAAAGATAACAATAAGTCATTGTATAGAACTACAACAGTCTTATCTTATGCTCCACTGAGCATTAAAGATCCTATATTATGCAAAATTGTCTCTTGAAAGCATTAAGCTCATCAAAAACATACCTGGAATTGTGTTTTGTTTCATTCACATAAGTTTGTGTTATCCTGCATTATTGGGCTTTCTACATCAACAAAGCTCAAAATGCTCTGTTCCACCTTGTGATGTCATGAACCTGTAGTCCAAATAGTTTTAGTGAAAGTGTATGGAATTTAAAAACACAGTGGAGCACTTTCTATATGACCACATGACATCACAAGGTAGAACAGAGTTTCTGTTTGAGAGAAAAATATGCAGGAGTTTTATGTTAAACATGTGTGAATGAAACAAAACATAACTCCAGGTATGTTTTTGATGAAGAAACAACATTATAACAGATCAGAAAATCTGTATAATGTGTAATGTGGACCCATTAAGCACCAAGCTCTTTCCTTGATTAAAAAAATCGCATTTGAAATTTTAGTATCTCAACAAAGTTAATTTCAGACAGATTTCAGTTTGGGCTTCATTTCAGTAACCATCATCTGTTGCTCTTTGGGGACTGTGACGTAAACTTGCCATTTGGGCAGTTAACCGGGAAAATATGATATTCTGTCTGGAGCTCCCTCAAAGCTGTAGCCACCTATTACTCAGACAAATGAGCAGACAAACAAATATGTGAGAGACAGGCTGCTGTGTCTTGAATGAGGCAACACTTTCACTAGACCTGAGTAAGAACGCTCTGTAATATTCATGCTTTGTTTTGTGCCTCAGAAAGTTATTTCCAAGGGCACGGGGGGGGACGTTGACGGACAGATCCTGGGAGAGCTGATGTCTTCTGCATACATTCATTTTGTTTGAGCACCTAAAAAACATGATGAGCAGATCAAAGAGTCTCGAGGTTAGAGTTACCTCAAAGATGCTGTGAGGAGTTTTGAAAATCGGTCCCTCCCTCTCTCTACTCCCTGGTTTATTATTGTAATGCTGCACTGCAAAAATCTAAATGTTTTATGATATTATCTATGACTTTAGTTCAGAATGTTGACGCTAAACCTGATTTGTTTTGACAACTTTATATCTGTTCAGAATTGTATCATTTATTTCAGCATTCATAGGTTTTGACTTGATGTAGACTTTGTTTGGTCCTGGTCTAGCTCAGGTTTAGTTCAGGAATTTTATGTGTACAATAAACAGGCTAATTATGAAGAACAAGTTAGGCTAATCTGACTGATCTGACTGTTTAAGAAAAGAGCTTCATGAATATTTGCTATTCTCTCACCACAGGGTTACAAAATGTTAAACTTAAAATACTATTCTACTTAAGTATTACACCAGAGAAATTAGTTTGCTAGTGGAATTTAAGCATTTTTGTTTACTTATTATGGCTTTTTAATTTGATCTTTTAAAATGATTTTCTGATATTTTTTTCCTGAATTTTTATCAGATTCTCTCATTTTTGCAGTGAACGTGCAGTTTAATAATTTGGACCTCACACTCCAGTACTGGGGGACTCCTGGACAGACCAAGTGCTGATTTAGTCCAATTTCAAAGTGTCTCTGTGACATGTTCACAGGCTGAGTTTGGCCCGTGCATACGTGTACAGCAGGAGACATGGGCTGCTCCTCTCTGCTCTGGCTCAGGATCATACACTGATCAAACACAAAGTCTCTCTCTCATTTACATTCAAACGCCTCCGGCTTGTTTGAGCACACTGTTTCTCCTCCATATTCTCATTCATTTAACTAAAGAGATAATAGCCCCGGGACAGACACAATAAGGCTCCATCTGGACACTATAGGACTCTGATGTCGTTTTTTAAAGATCCTATATTACACTAAATTGATTCATGTGAGCTTATAGTCTCGTTGGAATATTGTTACCGCCTCACAAAAAAATACATGGAGTTAGAATGTTTTGTTTCATTCACACATGTTTGAGTAATCTTCTAAGGTTAAAATTATCCAAATTATTCTAGTGAAGGTGTATGAAGTTTATAAATATTGTGGAGGTGGAGTAGAGTGTTCTCAGTCTGAGAGAAGAACTCAGCATAAAAATGCAGGGTTTGTGTGTTAAACATGTGTGAATGAAACACAACTCCAAGTATGTTTTTGATGAGAAAAAAACATTATAACATAGATTGGAAAATAATGTAATACAGGCTACTATTTCTGTTTAATCATAATGTCATTTCTATAAAATTACTCATACAGGAACTACATAGGAATTACTGTGACAACATAAAGTGAAAATATTGTTGCTATATTATAATGCTGCCAAACATTTCTGTAAATGTGCCATAGCTCGGGTACAGTTAACCCTGTAAAATAACATGACATCTAATTTGTTGCTCTTTGGGTGAAATTAATTAATTAATTAATTTCTATCATCTAGTATTTTGTTCCTCACTGCAGATTACATCCAGGACAATAGCCAGTTAGTTGCTCAAAAACACAAACTGGATTTGATTTTAGGCATCTCATTTAATAGTTTTTTATTATTATTAATGAATATCTTGGGATGAGACACAGAGGTGTTACACTGCTACCAACAACATATTACACCAGGCAGTCATCTGGCCTTGAGTTGCAGACAGTTTGAGCTCTCATCAGAGAAGAATAGCACTGATTTCACCAATTTTTATGACTTTTGTTGATGAATAATTATATGCACATTTGTAGAGTCAGAGTCAGTTTCTCTAGTTATCAAACTTAAAGGTCCTGTATTACACAAAATTGACTCTTGTGAGCTTTAAACCATGTTATAATGTTCTTACCTCATCAAAACAGTACTGGAGTTGTGTTGTATTTTCATTCACACATGTTTGAGTAATCCTTTATTATTAGTCTGTCTACATCTCCAAATCTCAAAATGCTCTGTTCCACCTTGTGATGTCATGTAGTAGTACTTTTCAAGTTAAGTTACCTTTTACCTTTTGTTTAGTATAGACTGGCAATTCCAGAGCTGAAATCATCCAAATGATTTTAACCACATGACATCACAAGTTGGAACAAGGTGTTTTCTGTTTGAGAAAAAAATTCAGCCTTAATATGGAGGATTTCTGTGTTAAACATGTGTGAATGAATCAAAACACAACTCAGAAAATAGTGTAATATGGGGCCTAAAAAAGCCCCAAAAGTGTCATTGTCATTGTGCCATACTCCTTACCTTCCCTTATGGCTGTAAAAGGCGTCCCTTCCTCTTCCTGTAGACGAATCACCTTGAGCGCAACCAGCTTCCCATTCACCCTGAAACACAGAAGAAAACATATCAACAATCCATGCTAATCTGAGACACTACAATTGACTCAATAAGAGACAAGTTCCTATTAAAGTCATTGATGCTGTAAGAGAGTGTAGAAATGTAATTGGACTTCAGCGGAGTGAGACTAGAGGACAAGGCCGTGGGATTACTGAGAGAATGAGACTCACCAATCACTACTGCTATAGCAATAACATCATTACACGCTCAGATATTTACAATGTGTGAAATGCATGGTCTGAGCATAATTAACATGTAGAATTCAAGAAGTAACCTACTGAAATAATAACTATAAGACCACTGAACAGAAATGCTCATATGTGGTGAAAATGGTATTTTTTATGCTTCATATTTCAGTGTTATTGCTGCTAAATCTGTTATATAGTAATAGCTATAGAGACATTTTCTGCTTGAGTTTCCATGCAGAGGTGAACTAGATGGCTATTTTTTCATAAGAAAGTTCATTTACTGCACAGTTAGGGCCTAACTGGGCGCCTTTAACTCACTGAGCCCACATGTAAATCCCTGAATTGGCTTATTGTGAGGTTTTTATTGGAGAGCTACACGAAACATACTAGCTCCCATTTCAGTTACATATACTGTAATTTAGGGGTTCCCAACCAGCAGCCCAGGGCCCAAAACTAGACCAAAAGGATGTCAGGTATTGTTCCCCAGAAAAAAATATTAGATATCTGTATACACATAACTCATTTTAGTCTACTACCATATTTACTCTGAAAAACAGTGTAAATTAACCTAAATAGCAAACATGATTATTAAAGGGACAGTTCGGAATTTTGGACATAAGACCATTTCCTAGTGAGCCAGAGTGTTGGAGACGTCTGGAGACACTTTCTTAAATATTATATCCAGTCCTTGTGTTTGCAGAGGTCGCTGGTGCTAGGCTAGTGCATGTCCACGGCCATAGTTAGCCTGCCACTATAAACAGTCTTACCCACTCCACAAAGCACTCGAAGCAAATCTATTATTACGTCAGGCTGTTGATGTGCACGTCTATGTCGACAGAATAATTTTAGAAGTAAAACCAACCTTGCATTTGAAGGATTTATGTCTGAACAGCAGCAGCAGCGAGTTCTTTCTAATAGAAAGCTTGACAGCAGTGGAGTGATATATGAGAAAATAGTCCCTCAACATGCGACGATTCATGTGATGGAAGGTTAGTTTTATTTCAAACATCATTCTGTCAACACAAACAGTCTGGTGAATATATTAATAAGAATATTTTAAAAAGCATCTCCACACGTCTCCAACACTCTGGCTAACTAGGAAATAAGGCCCTATGTCAAAAATTCTAAACTGTCCCTTTACGACAATTTTTTCAAACTATGACAACATCAGGTCAGACTTTTGCAAAAGAACTAAACATGTTTTGTCAAGATTTCAAGCCCACTATAAGTGAACTGAGGAAAGTGTTGATCATGAAAATGAAACCTACAGAATGGCATAAAATAGCTGATCAACTTCAGAACACAAGTGAGATGCATTCATGTGGATTGGAAACATGACTCTAATGCTTTGTATAGAGCTTAGAGTTATAAGCATTTTGTGCTGTTATTACTGACCCTGCCTCCCCCCCACCGGTCTCTGATAAAAACTGTATATTAATTACCACCAATTACCAATTCCTTACGACTGAAAAGATTGGGGACCGTTTGTGATTCATCTACTGAAAAGTTTCATTTTTAGAGCAGTTTTCGCAACTTGAGCAAAATATAGTGCAAGACTCCTACACAAGAAAAAGTGTTGGTTGCTCTTCCCGCTGTGAGTATGCCTATAGACAAAATCTTTATGATGAAATTACATTTGTCAGATTAATATTAGTTTTTTCTCATTTTAGTGGTCCATCCTTACCACTTACCACATTTATACTGATTCTATTATACTAACCTCAAATTAATCAAGACTTAGTCAAGACCAATGTTATGCTATAATTCTGTAACTGTCCCCAAATATATATTGTTTTATTCTTACTTGAGTCATTTCTCTGACTATTACTTTTGAATAAGCAGTATCTTTACTACAGAATATTCGATACAGTACTACTTCACACTCTTTTAGTAATTGTAGGTGCGTATGAATTGACTTGATGAGATGGAGCAAGAACAAAAATATCGAAAAATGTGAATCAAATAGTACATTAATGTCTTTTCACCTAATACCAAGCAGACTAACCAGAGTAAAAATATCAATTAAAGTCCTTAAATGAACTGACAAAGGACAACTCACTTGCTTTTCCCTTTGTAGACTGTGGCATATGAACCTTCTCCAAGCTTCTCCAACTTCTCATAGGAGTCTGCCTTCCCAAACTTCGGGCTTGTCGGCTGAAAAAAAACGAAAAGGTAACATTCAAAGGTGCATCCGGATGTGTGGATAATAAAAAATACGTCTCTGTGGGATTTCAAGGAAGTTATTCTAAAGTCTACAAGTGATATTCAAAAATCGGGAGGTTTTCGAATGCATCATCAGGGAGGTGTAACTGCGGTGAGGAAGCAGACAGAGGATTTCACAGACTCTCAGAGGACAGAAAGTGCAGAAAGTACTTTTACATTTTAATCATTGGCTCAAAACGAGTCTGTGCTACATTCAGGAGGAAAGGTAATCACTGCTGCTCTGAGGAGACGACGCCACAGCTCCACGTCTCCATCACCCACCGCGATGAAAAGAAAAACTTTACTCTAAACTTTTCCCCTAGCAGTCTGAGAAAAACTTTATGGAAATGTATTATAATAACGCTAAAAGAGATATGATAGAGAAACAGTTTACTTGTAGTGCATTTTGGATGATGTTGTGGATAATGTTGACCCAAGATATGTTTCAGGGTGTTTTTACTTGCTGCCACTGTGCAGAACTTTAAGGTATCTGTACTTTACTTAAGTACATTTAAAGTGGATAGTTTTTACGTTTACATCATTTGAGTGCAGGTATCTGTATTTTCTACTCCACTACATTTGTGAACCAGACTAAAAAGTAGAAGAACCCCTGAAAAGCCTGAGTGGCTCATTTATAAAAAATAAAAACACACAGGGAAAAATAATAATAAAAAATAATAATACAATTGTTTCTGTGTAACTAAATTCATAAAATACTTTTACTTTTTACTCTTTAAGTGCATTTTTAAACAGGAACTTTTTCTTAGTAGATTTTTTTTCATGTGATACTTTTAGTCTTTACTTGAGTATGTTGTTGCTCATGTATCTCTGCTTTAACTTAGGTAACAAATTGAGTACTTTTTCCATCACTGCAAATTTCTGAACTTGGCCTTTCGGGTGTAAAATTGAATCTGACAATTTTTTTCCCCACATCAACCTGGACCGTACAGTAGGCCAAACGTCCAGGTAGGTACTTTTACAATCAAATCCTGCCTCAAGTGTCCCTGTGTGTGCTGTGGTCACCCACTGATCCAGGTAAGTTTCTTCAGACACACTGTAGGATAGGTTATGTGGGTCAACAAACCAACATCTCAATGGAGAAAATAAAGCATATCTTAAACTTATTCTCTATTTTCCCAATTTTTTTCCTCTACTTTTTAGTAATATGCTGTAATAAGTTAATAAGAGTTTATAAGCACAACTTTCAGAGGTCCTCACAGTCAGCTGCTTTATAAAATATTTGGGGCAATACAGATTTTACTTGATTGCAAGGGGAAAAAATGGGTCCCTCCTCTTAACAAAAGTACTGCAACAAAGACTATCATGATAACAAATTTGAAGTATAAACGATAATATTGAAATTATTTGAAACCACTGACACAATAACAATAATTCAAGATAATCCTAGTAAACCATTTTTTAAATAGACAATTTCATTAAAAAGCCTGAGCTGCAACTAATAAATGGCAGAAGCGAAGCAATATAAGGTATTTACTCTACCCTCTACAGCTCAGATATTACCTCATTATATAACTTTATATATATTCCTTTTGCAAAGAAATTGTACACACAGCCAAAAATATATGGTTCCAGCTTTCATATATTGAACGATAAAGATAGAGATAGACTCAGACAGAGCAAGAATTCAATGGGCTGAACAACAATATGTCTGCAAATGCATGGTTAGACTTTTAATGATAAATATATATGATTGCATAATATCTGGAGAAAATTCCACATAAGAGGCACCATGTGGGTTTCCAGTTATTTTCTTGTTATCGGACTCCTCCCTGTAGATCTCAAACTGTGGGGAAGAGTGGGAACTTCTCTAAGTAAACTGACCTGCCCCTGGGATTAAACAGGAAGTACATCTCTGTCTCAGGCACGAGGCACACACAGTGATGACCTATGTACTTGATTTTTTATGTATTAAATATTGCTTGTGATTGCTACATAGTTATAATCTACGACACCCGTGGATCATTATGTTATAGTTTCCATCTTGTTAAAACCCAATATTCTGCTAAAATGATGTAATAAAAGAAAGAAATCCACTGACTTCTGCGTTAGAAAACTGCAGTGCCCAATGGGAGCTGATGCCCCTGTAAATGCCATCACAACAAAGAGTCGGCATCTTCAAATGGATAGCTACAGATCAAGCAAGTGTGCAATGCATTTTTTTCACTTGTACGACAATGCCAAATCCTACACACATCACTTATTAAGAAAATAACACTGGAGAACAAAGTAAGTAGAGAGCAGTGGGCATATGCCGATGGTGGTGAAAACTGATTGATCGGCAACATGGCAACTTGAAAATAAGTGAGTAATTAAAGACTGCTCAAACATGCATGGATCATTCAAAACACTATAACAGTTAAAAGCTCTAAAAAGTTGATTTTGCACAACAGGCCTGCTTTTAGTGCAAATTTGTATTTCTTACATTCAAAATAAAGTTTCTTATGAAATGCTCTCTAAATATTTCCTCGTTTGTTTGTTTTGGTTTGTAGGAGGTCATCTTGCTGTGTTATTATACTATACTGTACTATATTATAACCTACTGTGTTGCTGATTTGAAAAGGACTCAATAAACGTTTGCAATGGAGAACATGAATTTGAACTTGAATTCCTAAATGTAATTGAGATTTTTGCTTTTCAACACATTTTTGCTGATAACTTTCTCCAATTATCTACAACTGAACTTTTTCTCTATTGAACTCACAGTGATGTGTTACTTCAAAAGTAAACGTGTGTATAGTACAGTATATTACTTTAACGTGGGCACTAATAAAATGATTGGATCAAAGTGTATTTTTTCATGTTCACAGTTGAAAGAGTTCATTAGCATCTTGCAGAGAAGCTGGCAGGCAATCACTCAGATGTCATAATACGCTCATTCAATCCAGTTTGTGCACACGCCGACATTTTACATTTGGAGATGGATTTTAAAAGTGTGCGCGAGTCTCCATGAATCCTGAAAATCTCATTTGGGTCATTAAGAAAATCATGCTGTTTGTATAAAGCTCTCAATTAAGGAGGAAGAGAGGAAAATTAGCCTGCCCGCCAAAATAAAACTCCTGAGAAATAAACAAGGTAATTTCTTGTGGGTTTTTAATTAGATTGGCTGATAAAATGTGTTAAGACAGTAGCTTTTTTGTTTTTTTTTTTTTTTTTTGTGTTAGAGGAAAATTGGTTAATAATCTAATAGCAATTTCAAGTAGATGTCAACAAGGCTTTATTAGTAACAATATTTCAGTCCATTGGCACTCCTCAAATGGTGAGCTTATGGGCAGAACATTTTAGAAAAATGTGCAAAAAAATAATAATTTGTGATGCATTGTGTAACTTTTCTGGTGAAGGGTCCATCAAATGCTTTTCACCATGGAGATGTCATTGCTTCATCTGGAATGTTTCACAGTGTGGTATTAAACCTTTCTATCTTCATGGAGACCAAATCAGACCAAGTTACAGGTCAGATCTGTGGAGAGGCAACCCCGTTTTTCTAGGTATTTCTGAGCCATAAAACCACCTGTAATTGTATAAATGTAAGGTAGAGCTGTGACATATCCATAGAAACAAGCAGGTCACAAATCCCCAGCCAAAAAGTTACATAGTGCACCTTTAAATAAAGTAAACAATTTACAGAAACAAATTTTAAGGCACCCGGGTTTGATAAAATGATAATATTATCAACAGTTTAAGTAACACATTTAACATGGTGAATGTGTCCAATTATACATTCAAAATAATGCTTGCTATTATGTTTGCATGATGCCTTCTCTAAAACAGCATCTCTTGGCCAACTTTATGCCATAGTCTAGTTAAATTTTTTGATTACACATTTGGGAACTGAACTTTTAACTTCCATTACAGAAGCAGAGGCAATAAACAACTTCACTTTCATTTGAAGCCTTTTGGATGAGTTGACTAATTACTCAGCAGTACAAAAAGATACAATAAAAAATAAAAACTTGTGTGTACAACAGAACCCAGGCGGTGTTGCTATGGAAACGTCAGCACAATTCTCAACACAATTTGCTTTCTCAAACCAAACTGCAGTGACTGGCGCTGAATAATTTCCCCGACTCCTGTGTCCTCTCTGCAGCCCATCTGTGGCTCCAAGGCTAATACACGAGGCTGCTTTCAAAGGAGCCATACTACAGTGTATAGTTGTAACCAGTGTCGTTATCTAAGCGAAACCTGCATGTAAAAGTTTTGTCAGAATATTAGTTATATTAAAGAAGACCTATTGTTCTTGTGCTTGCTATATAGCTATTATTTATTTAGAAAAACAAGGCATCACTGTAAGAATCATCACAACAAAGAGTCAGTACCTCAGATTAATAACTGCAGATCACGTTAGCGATAACTAGATTTTTTTCATTTGCACCAAAATGACAATATGACACTGCTGAATCCTACGTGTCACTGATTAAGAAAATAAAATTGGAGAAGGAAGTAAGTACAGGGCTGGTGGTGGTGAATATGCTGTGTTGAAAATAAGCCATTAATGACTGATCAAACATGCAGGAATCACTTCAAATACAACTTCGAGTGAATAAATGGTTAAAAGATCTGTTTTAAAAAGTATCTTTACACAAAAAAATGTAATTTTATACAGATCAGTACTAGCTTTAGTAACATCACACAAGAACTGCAGTTTTAGAGCTGCTCTGGTCTAGTCATCAACCCTCATTCTAACAAGAAATTTGGGGACAACATTTCAATAACTGTCCACGAACAGTAAACAAATTCTGGTGGTCTTGATACTGTATATTATAATCTATGAGTGGTTCAAGAGTTATGCGTGGAACAGACAAACAAACCAACAAACCAACAGGAGGAGACACAGACAGACGTTCCTTGCATTAATAGATAGATTTAAACTACTGCATCTAAAGCTGCATCTTAACTTACTTTTCCTACAGGTGGTCTGAGGACAGTGAGGATCTTCCCACTTCGTAAACTGAACTTGCATAATGTCACTAATCCATCTCAATCAAAAGCCAAATGAAATCAATAGAAGTCATTTGAGTGAGTTTAAATGAGTGGGTCTATGTTTTCCCTCTCATGAGCTCTGTGGGCGGATCAATAGGCTGGTTTTCTTTAGATTCGGAGAAAAATCCCTCACCTTCAGTTAAACTCATTTCGCTGTTTACTTTTAGGAAAGCAATCAATGGGGGTAGCACCAGAACGTATTCAAAATTAGCCAAGTTTCATGTATGTAATGTGTTTATAATGTGAGATAGTGTGGCTGGTATTAGGAATAAAATACGGTTTAGAAGTTTAGAACAGAAGTTTTGTTGAAGGTTAGAGTGGTATTAAAAACTAAAACAAATTCAACTATTGTTTGTGTCTTAAAACTTGCCAAGATTTATATTTTACTTATTTATTTGTTTGTTTATTTAAGTCTCTGGAAACGCAAAGACTACTCTCCACTCTCAAAGCAAAAGCACCACATACTGTCTGTTCATGCTGTACATCAATATATAATGCGAACAGTTCCATCATAAAGGAATTAAGCAGAACACAGAAGTTAATAATTGTGCTTGGTTAGCATTAACATTGTGTCATTTTCAAATATTGATTTCTTAATATGTGGCATGATTGTATATTAGCATAATATCTGGAGGCAGCTTATTCCAGTGAGAAATGGCTCTGTATACAAAAGTTGTTTGTACTGCATTAGTTCTGGTTTAGACAAAGTAAAGTCTTATTAAACTCTGGCGCCTGCTGGGCTGTAGCTGTGAGAACACTCTAAAAGGCCTGTGTGTAGTCCAGGCTTTATGCAAGGACAGAACCAAACTACACGTTTGTCTTTGACTTTTATCCATGACAGTCTCTGATGAATAGCAGTAACATTAGCTCTAAAAGGGCAACTGAGAGCTAGTCTTGCAGCTCAAAAAATGTAGCTATTTTTGTGTTAAATGCACATATTGCATATATAAATGGACAGAGCTAACCCTCGTTCCAAATAGGCAAAAATGTCGCCTCTGTCTCTGTAAGCGCTGCTGTGAGCCTCATCATTTTGGTCTTAAATTTTTTGTATTAACCAGCTCTACATGATCCTGGTGGTTTTATTTGGCTATTTTGTCTGTAAATCAATTCCTATTCCTAATGTGGAACTCCAAATTTGCCCCATAACTGTGAGATTCATTTGACTGGAGCCAAACACTATGGGTCACACTCCTTTAGTCCACTTCTGTTTACTGTCTATGGTTAAATGGCGATAAAAAGTCTGTCTTGTTTGTGAAATTAAAGCGAGTTTTATTTTATTTTTGAGAAGAAAAACTAAAACCAAATTGAAAATCAAGATCGATGATTAATTTTGTTACCATATCGCTCAGCCCTAGAGCTGTATACAGTCTTCCGTCCCCACAAAGTGATAAACACTCACCCACTGATTCTTATTGTATATTATTGTATTTCTTGCCACTTACAGAGCTGGGACTGGAGTGTCGGCGCAGTTTGGGTGACTCTTTCCCAGTGGAGGAGGTCTTGGCGTTGATGCAGGCATTGTTCTCGGAGTGGACCCTCTTCACTTGACTGGTGGGCTTCTCAAACGGGTCAAAGCCGCTCTGGGTCCTCTGCACGCGCACCTTCTTGTCCTCAGGGATGGTGTCCAGGGGCTTGATGACCGAGTCGGATCCCTGGACGCTGCGTGTGGACATCTTCGTGACACATATCTGGAGAGGAAAAGACAAAGAGAGGAGGTGAAGTGAGCTTACTATACTGTGGAACATTCCGAGCAAAACAATTGAATCCCCATGGAGACAGGTGGTGCACCCTCTCCCAGAGATGTTAAGGATGATTGTGGTCTTGATTTCCAAGGATATTGAATTTAATCGCTAAATCTGAATAAGAACCACTTTTATTCACTCCAAGAAGAAAGTCTCTTCATTACAGTCAACCAGCAGAAGAAATAGAGTTATCAAAAAACTACAATTAAATAATAGTAATATGATAAAAATGTGCCCAGGTCTAACAATAATTAAAACAAGACAAGCTCTGCTCTGCTGTTGAACCATGACAAACAAGGGTCTGGTATAGTCACAGGCTGTATACACATATCTCTCATCTCTGATTGAATAAAATGTTCCTGGCACTCGCTTCATTATGGTTCTCATCCAACCAAATGCCAAGTTATCTGGAAAAAAAATTACAAGGCCACAATATGGAGAATCAAAACAGTATTCCAACACCCTTCCAAAACAGTTTTCTAAATTCTGAAAACAACAAATGAAGAGATAATTAAATGGTTGTAAAGAAGAGTCCATATGTGATTGTTCTGTAGTGTAGTGCCACAATCTGCACCCCTGTCATTCAGCTCCAGACTGGTTCTTTCTGGATGCCTGGGCCCGTCCCTTCTGTCAGGCTGCTGGTACCTCTCTGAACAGATGAGAGCCGTGGTTTTATCTCCACTCTCCTCAGATCAAAACAGCTCCTGTCTGTGTGCACACTGTTACCTTACAACACCTTATCACCAACAGACATCTACAACTGCTGTGTCCAGGACTGATATCACACCAAGGAGAACAAAACTGCAGGAGACTTTTGTTTTAATCACAATCCAGTAATTACAGTTTAAGATAAGCTACTAACAGACTGACAAAGCAGCCAAGTCCCATAAACGGTCCCATATTATTCAAAACCGACTCTTGTGAGCTTTAAGCCATGTTAGAATGTTGTTGCCTCCTCAAAAGCATACATGGAGTTGTGTTTTGTTTCATTCACACAAGTTTGACTAATCTTTTATTATTAGACTGTCTACATCTCCAAAGCTCAAAATGCTTTTTTCCACTTTGTGATGTCATGAAGTGGTAGTTTTCATGTTACCATCTACCTTTTACTTTGAGAGAACTCAGCCTAAATAGTCACTGTTTGTGTATTAAATGTGTTAATGAAACAAAACTCTAGGTATGTTTATGATGAGGAAGCAACATTATAACATAGATCAGGAAATAGTGCAGTGTGGGCCCTTTAAAGAGACAGTGTGTAGCCTGGACAATTCTTTTAAAACAGCACAACTGAACCTGAGTTGTTAGTGCCTTAACTTGCAAAGAGGACACATACATGTTTTTCTCATTAACTGCCGATGCCAGGGTTTAAGTAGTGAGGATTCAGCTCAGAGAGTGTCTTTTTAGGTTTAAACCAACTGGATTTCCAGCACTGAAACTGGCAACCCAAATGAGAAACTTATGTGAAGCTCATTTGACTTTCTGTCTGGATAATCGTCAAAACACCACATTATAATATAAACTACTTGGCCACCGTGCCCAATGTTTTAGTAATCAAGAATACATCAGCATAATAATTACAATCCAAGCCTAAGACTTTTTCTCCCATTTAAAAGCTGTATGCACATGCACAGGCCAATGCATTTATGTAAAGACCAACATTACAACTGCATTCACCTCAAATGACATCATTAGACAAACAAATATAGAAAGTACAAGACATCATGATCATCATCTTTGCATTAGTTTCATTGTTTTGTTTCATTTTTTTATTTTGGTATTCATTCAGAAATGCATTAGTACAAACATAAAACATCATCTTTGTCATTTGGGAAATTTGGAGAATCTACATCGCCTATATATTACTGTTGTCCTGAACTGATAAGAAGACCTTTTCCAACTCAGACATTAAAGGTGCACTGTGTAATTTGTCCAGTGGATCTGTCACATTCTTGTCTCCATGTAATGTTCCACAGTATGGCCTAAGAAAGAAAAAGAAACGCATATCCAAATATCAGCCTAGCCTACTTTGTTAACACGCTCAAAACATTGTAAACGAAACCTGAATACATGGACACTTTAAACACAACAAAACCCAACAGCACATACAGAAAACACCGCATAAAGACCGTATCCTAACACAAACCCACCCACACGCTCTTTGGCCTTACCAGCCTCTGCTCCACCGACTGTGTACGGGACACAAAAGACGCAGGTGGTGTGACATGTTTTGCCACTGCTGCCTACAGATGAAATATTTAAGGCTGGACTCCCCTGCAGGAAGAACTTCTAATTACTCTAACACAGGAGAGGAGTCGGCTTGCAGCTCAAAGTCCTGTCCCAGAGACTGTGTGGGCCAGGTTTCAGCGCACACGCCTCAATGGGAGCGCTCAGCCGTAAACAGCCATAACAAACAAGGGGCAGGACAGTGTGGAGATAGGGCAGGTAATTATTAGCAATATCTAGCCTACTCATAGTTGATCAGATGTATTAAAGGGCCCTTATTATGCTGTTTTCTGAGCTATGTTATAATGTTTCCTCATTACAAACATACCTGGAGTTGTGTTTTGCTTCATTCACATTTAACCCAAAAGTCCCACATATTTAGGCTGAGTTCTTCTCGCAAACAGAAAGCACACCTTGTGATGTCATGTGGTAATACAGGAAGTGCTTTAAACTGCATGAACCTTCACTAGAATCATTTGGATAATTTCAGCTCTCTCTACTAAACAAAGCTTGGAGATGTAGACAGACAAATAATAAAGGATTACTCAAGCATATAATTTCAATAACTACATACAAAAAACGTGCATACTTTAATCAATATCTGATATGGTCTCACAGTCTCATAATATAAACATTTTTAGTATTCAATTCAGCTTTGGAGTTTGAGTTTGAGTTTGAAAATCCTTGCTATTGTCAAAAACCATGGTCTATATAACACAACAGTTCACAGGGCATCAAAACTTCAACATGTGTAATGATCAGGGATTCACCATTGTTTTTATTTTATCCATTCACATTTCAAATACACTTAAATTATAGGCTCTATATTCTGTTTTGATAAAGCATAGCAGGGGTGACTTCAGGACACTGGCTAATGGCCTTGTGCAACGTTGAATGGGAATTTGAGAATGGATAGAAGTAGTTTGAATGTGTCTTTTCTTCTGAAAATTACAGCAGTTAACATCACAAACATGAAGTAGGTGCTAATCATTAAGATTTATCTTTAACAATACCAAGAGTCAATTTTTTTGTATAAATGTCTGTGTAATCTAGATTCAGCCACAATCAAACAGATCAGTAGCTTTTAGCCTGACTGACATGATACAATTTACTGCTAAACTCAAGACAGTGTTTCTCCTCCTTTGCCTGATGGGCGTATTGACTAACCACACTTTAAAAATTCACCAATGACAATAGTGAGGCTCATTCTGTTTCAGACAAGACACAAGCACTTTCTTTCAAGAGCTGCTCTCAAAAACAACCTCAGAGCAACATTTGAATCAAGATGATTTTGGCAACTGGTAGCTCCCATAACAAGTGTGCATACCATCTTATGAATGTGCAGATGGTCACAAATGTATGGCTGGAAACAGAACATACATTGGACTCTTCAAATCATCTGCCATTGTACAAATAATGAAATAACAATTTACAAATGGACCTATGTTTCCTATCAGATGCTTTTCCTGACACTTTCTTCTTGTTACATTTAGTTTAGTTAAGTCTGGAGGTGGCACAAAGACTACACTTGACATTTGGCTTGATATTTCTTTTTGCCTTGCTTGATAAGAATTCTTGTCTCCATGGAGATATCATTGCTTTGTTCCACTGTATGACATTAAACGTATCTATCTACAGCTAAGACACGCAGGTTATTACCTACCATGCCAAATTACAGGCTAGATCTGTGAACCGCTGCCCCACTAAACATCTGTAATTGAGTACGTGCAAGAGAGACAGATACATTTAATGCCATATTGTGAAACATTCCAAGCGCTGCAATAACCTCTCCATGAAGACAAGAAGGAAACAGACCCTCCCCTAGAAATGTTACATATTGCTACTTACATATTTTCCTCTTCTCACTACTAAAACTTACGTAAATTCTGTTGTATTTCAAATGTTTAGCCGACACCATAGGGTTCAATAGCTTCAAGCCCTATGACACTGACCTGCCCTCGTAAACAATCTATCCTAATGGCCTTGATGGACAGACGATCTAAAGTTTCCTAGAAAGTGCAAGCATATCCTTTAAGAGACCGTTAAAAGATCGTGAGCTGTCCGTCAGCTCTGTGGACCTGTTTATCCCTCTTATTTCTGAAGATGCCGTTTTGACAGTGACTGATGGCTTCTTCTATGGTCCCCTGTATAGTGTGTCTACCTTCATCAACAGCTTTTGTGTTATGCATTGTATATTAGCAACACGATCGCATCATCATCATCATTTCAAAGAAAAGTTACTACAGGGTGTGTGAAGGATCCTGCACGCTGCTTATTCCATTCATTAATAAATCATTGTTTGTACCTTTAATATGAATTGATTTTTAATTGCGCTTCAGACATGCATCGATGAACAGTCCTATACTAATATTGTAGACCGCAATGAGCGGGAACAAATGGGAAAAATAGGCCTAAACCGGTCTAAAGCTGACCAGGCCAGGACTAAACCAGGTCTAAACAGGGGCTAAGATTAAACCCGGGTTAAACCTGGGCCAAAACTATCACATAGCAGCTATTAAAAGTTGGAATGTTCCTTGGCCTATGGCATTAAACTTGTCTGCCCTGCATTTATTTAATTACAGGTGTTTTTATACCATAATTGTATTCTTATTGTAAGTGGAATAGACTCTCCATCATCAGTAACTTGGCCTAGAAATGCCACCTGCTTGTCTCCATGGAGATGGATCAAATTAAATGCCATACTGTGGAGCATTCTTGGCAAG